GAACGACTCAAACGGAACGACGTCGGAACGTCGTCCTGTTTTTGTCACATGACACGTCGTCGTCGGAGTCGTCGTCGTCGCTGAAACTGTGACAGACATCCAGGTTATTTCAGGATTCAATCCTCTAATCCCAGTGGTCAAAGGCTGGGGCGGGGTTACACCGCGGACAGCGATCAAAATCAACGCCATTCACACTATCATTCACACTATCATTCACGTTGTTTAATATTTGAAATGTTGTTAATTTTGCTCCTAATTTCTCTGCGGGATAAAAAAAAATATTTTAAAAATCTCGTCTGACTTAATGTTATTACGTATAATTTGTATAAAAACTTTTTTTTTCGTGTCCATTTAGCGCTATGCTAATACAAAGCTGTGCTTAGCTTTGGGGTTATACAAGCTAGCGGTCAGGATGACACGTAGTAAATGAACTCACGACGCAGGTGAAATCAGAACAGCGAGAGTTTCAGACACGTTTTTCCAGAATTTGGCAGATAATGAAATAAAAATAAAAAATATAGGTTTGTACTTTTTTGATCCCATATTTGGGAAATTGTTGTGTTAGCAGCAGCTACGCTGTTAACAGGCTGCCCCCTAGCAAGCGCCAAGAATGTGGGAATCGAACCCAGGACTTTCTGCCTGCGAGGCAGCTAACCGCTACACTACGTCTACTTTTACTCCAGAGTTCCACAAACATGAGACCAAAACGCCGACTACGTCCATCTCGTCTCCATCTCGTCTCCATCTCTGTCAGATTCGTCCCTGATCCAGTTTCTAAGTTGTCCAGCAGATGCTGCCGTTCAGAAACTCGTCTTCCCTTCAGTGGACCTGGACCCAGTGGGACGCTCCATGTGGACCTAATCATCGTGTGTCGGCTGTGCCGTGATTGGCCGTGACACCTCCCTTCAGTCACAGTGGCTTCTCTCCGTGTGTCAACAAAGCAGAATCACATGACGTACGTCCGACGGTACGGCGTACGAACGCTCCTCCGTCCACATGGTTGTCGTAAAGATCCAGCAGGGGTCGTTAGCGCTGTGACGTGAACGCGATCTTCACCAGACAGGAACTTTTATGAGCTTCGATCAGTACAGTATGTACGGTACATGTTCGCAATGACCTCGTTCGTATCCTCTGAATGAGAGATGTCACAAAAAAAACAACTTGTGTGACCACCAGGGGCAGTAAAGACTGATTTTATATTATAATAATTGATCTTTGGGAAAACAATGATCTAAAGAATGGGTTCCAGAAAAAAAACAACTCACATTTCTGTCAATTTTTTGGTCTCATCCAAGACAATAATCTGGAGGTTGACCATCCTGACTAAAACATCGCGGTCCAGCAGATAGTTGTCCGACAGGAAGTGAGTGGACAGGAAGTCACTTGTCCCCCCAAGGAGAGATTCAAGGAAACAAGGATTCAAGGATTCAAGGATTTGAAACTGTGACTAAAATGGAGTTAATAAATAAACGGGACTAGATTTGATCTGAAACGTTACAGATGTAAACACGTGGACTGGGATTATTTTAAAAACCCGTCCTCGCAGCCGTAGTCGGCAGAGTTTTTACACCAGATGAAATTACCCTCAAAGTTACAGCTTAAAAAATGTTAAAAAAATATATTCTCCGAAACTCTTTGACTCTAACAGATCAGATCCGAGGTCCAAGAGTGAGGACTGAGGAGACGTGGTGGAGGACAGGCCGGAGGAGGAGACGAGGAGACGCAGGGTGTGACAGGCCGGAGCAGAAGTTGAGATGTTCGGCTCCTCACGCTCCGACTCTGACCTCCTCCTCCTCCTCCTCCTCTGCTCCACATGTTTGCGTTGCGACAGCACAGATCCAGATGTTGGACTCTGACTGTGAACCACTGAGGAGGGGGGGGGGGAACAGGAAGTATCCCACGGTATCCACGGTAACCTTGACATTCCATCCTGACCAAGTTCCCTGACATCTCCCACCATTCACTCACACACACACACACACTCTCACACACAGATGTGTTCTCACACACACTGGGATTCTGCTGCTCACAGGAAGTGATGTCATTGGCTACTTTGTCTTTGTACTTCCTGTCTACGCGGGAAATGGAAAAAAGTAACTGTGAATATTGACATCAGTGTCTGGTCCTGGTGTTTGATCTGTTTGGTTTATAACAGAACAAAACTCTGGCTCTGGGGCCAATACTGGTACATGGTCTAATATTATATATTATATTTTATATATATATATATTTATTTATTTATTTATATATAAAAACAAAATATTTATCATGATTATAAAAAACCTGGTGAGTTCTAATTAAATTCATTCCATTTTTATCCTCGACTTTTCATTAGGTGTTGAGGTCGTTTTAATTATTTTGTTAATGAGATTATTTATCAATTTAGTTCCTTTTTTTGTGTCAAATGTCGGCTCTTCTGGGTTGTTCTAATAATTAATAATTAATTAATTAAGTCAAAAACTTTTTGACTTGACTATTTCTTTGTCAATTTTTATTTTTTGTTCATAAATTCTGTGCTTGTTCTATGCTAATGGGAGCAAAATATTTTTTTTAAAAGTTAAATATTTATCATCTGTTGTGTGAATTTTGTTCTTTTTCTGATCTTTACATTATTTTGTCTTTA